CAGACACAGACTTAGCTATTCATCATGTGCTCCTCACCTCATTGTACTATGAGACAGCTGTGCTCTCATGGATTGCTTGAGACCATTTGGCTGCAAAAGCTGGCTGGCAATTCCGTACAGCTGTAACCTTGGCCTGCTAACTTTCTAATGAAAGCCATGCCACGGTGGGTACCAAAGGGAAAACAAATACCCTTTTGTCCACGGAAAGTCTGGCAGGGAAGCAGATCCACTTTTGATTCAATAACAAATTTTCCTTGACTGCAGCCCTCCCTTTAATTTTTTTCACAGTTAGTCAAATTGACAGAATAGCCAAGGGCAGGATGAGACCTGCAGTACTTTGGGCTACTGCTGCCAATTATTTGAAACAAAGAATCTATGAACAATTAGCAAAGAAACTGCTAAATCCTGTCTTACAGTGCTGCCTTATGGGAGGTGGTTTCATTCCTCCAACTGGTTTCTTTTTGGTACGCACAGACATTCAGTAGAAAAGCCTGGAGCAGTGAGGAATGTCTGGCATTTCTGCTGTCAGTGTGCATGTACATTGGAGTGCGTATTTTTAGAAGCCCATCACATCCAAGTATGCATGAATTCTCACGTAACCTCATAGTGTGAACAGCTCATGGAGTCAGGGATGTGAGGGTTTATCAGATTAAGCACACAACTTGGTTCCTGCTGAGTGTTCTCCACACAAACACATGCTGCATATTCCAATCCAGGGGCAAAATATGCTGTATGATTTAAAAGGAGAAGAGAAGCAGGAAAGACTATGGTAGCTGGGGTATAGCATAGCTCTGCAGGGCAGAGGTAAAGTTCATTAACCTGGAGACAGCATGGGGAAATCCGGATGTTCAGTGCATTTTAGACAGATACGTGCCTTTGCAAGTGGTTTTAAGAAAACATTTCTTTCTTAGGGGAAATTTTCTGTAAACAGGAGATTTCTGACCCATGTACTTTTCTGACCCATGCCCAGAAATGAAGCCTTCCTTTTTCTCTCTTGGCTGGACCATCTGACAAGTAGCCTTTAAGTCCCTTCACAGTAGAAGAAAAGCAGGGTCAGCTTTACAAAGAAAGCCCAGGGAAGGTCAGCTTCAAAGAATTTCTGATTTGAGACGTACAGTTATTTATATAAGAAGAGAAAGCGACAAGTTTGGACTAGAATATTCTGGAGCTTTTTCAATTTCCCTTTATTTCCAATAGGGAAAAGGATACCATTTATTACAACACCAAAGCCCAGCAAATGTAAGGAAAACATTTAAGAAAATATCCCAGTGCTAGAGAAAGAGGCTTTACTGCCTGAGTCACAGAACAATTTTACAACACACTTTCAATTAAAGAGGGCACTGTTTTAAAGATAGGGTAAGAGTCTCTAAACTGTTGAGCGATTTTAGTTCTTTGAAATTTTGTAGGCCAACCGAAGGACAGTTTAAAGTGCTTTGCATATCTGCTTTAGCACTGAAACATCCAAAATCACTTGACATGTAAATAATTAGGTGCACTGAAAAAATAAACAGGACAATATTCCACCAGGGTACTTTTGAAAAAACTAATTTTTTGCAGGAAAATAGGGCAGAAATAAATATGAACCATGAGTCAAGAATTTTTTTTTTCATGAAAGGTTTAATCAGACTTTCAGAATCTAATTTTATCACCAAAGCTTGGGCCTAAAGTCATTTACTAAGTAAAATCCAGGTTTAAAACATAAATACAACATTCCTGCATAATGCAGCTTTGATCTAATGAATATTAACAAAGAGGTCATTTTTGTTCTATTACTCCCAGAACACAAATGAAATAGCTTTTATGTTAACTTTCTCTAATCTTGATTACATTTGTATGTCTTGTAGGTCTAAGACAGTAAGACAAAAGTAACTATGATTCTCTTGGCTTAAGGGCAATCTCTGCTTTTGGATCCAGAGATTTTTAAGAGGACTGAACTGACTTTTTTCTCCCTTTTTTATTTTAAGTTTCTTTAAAAAAAAACAAAAAACAAACAGAATGAAGAAATGGAAAAAGAAAAAAAGAGCTAATGAGATGGCTAGTGCTGTTTGTTGCTTCTTGTGAAGTTGCCCAGAATTCATAATACATATTTCCTTCAAAGAGGAGATAAAATCTTAAATAAATAAAGATAACATATTGTCATGCTACTGGAATTGTGCAGGCTCATGCAGCCTGCAAAAACACTGTGTAAGAATATGCTGAATGTCTTTCTAGTCCCTATGGTAACCACAGGAACAATCAGTTGCTCTGAGGACAAGTGGGAAAAAATGCTATGAGAAAAACAGATCCTTTCTGACTAGAGCAAAGGCATGATCTCTGCAGCCTCCGAGCAGTAATGTACACGGTCGTTATAACTTTAAGTATGCAAACAAAGATCCAAGTATCACAAAGGGGATAAAAAATAAAGAGCTGGCACAAGACTGGAATTTTATGATCAGGCTTGAGGTACAGAGGTAATTTTCAGCCTGTAATTAATATTTCCCTGCTGCTGCCAAGGCTTCCTTAGACTAATCTCTCCTCTTTCATGGTTCCTAATTGGATATCCTCTGAACAAAGTCCCATGGCTCATTTTGCTCAGCACCCAACATCAGTCATCTTTAGAGGTGCATCCAAGCCACTGCCAGGCATAAGTGGGATTTCCTTACTCCAGGGCAGAAATACCTATTACCACCAGCATATTATCTCTGTAGCATTCCTGTCAGAGATCATTAAGCTGAGTTTGTTGTCACAGCATTATCTTATGTGAATTTTCACAAGTGAAAAATATGAACTGCTCATACTTGAATGTATAAAAGATCAGCTTGGTATACTAAAGATAAGTAACCCTGTTGTTTTTTCTGTAGAGATCTCAGAGAACCGGAAGGAAACTTTCCTGAGGAACATGGGGGAAAGGAAGAGGATCTGGAGCATGAATTTTCAGCAGAGAATTGGAGGAACTAGCTGGGGGAGATGAACACCTGGCATAGCAATTGAAGTTCATAACATGATTTTACATTTGAACATTAAATCTGTACCAAACATTTAAAACTGTGCATGTTAAATACAGTTTCTAAACCCATATATCTGTGCTCCAAAACATATAAAAATGTCACTAGTATAACAAATACATTAATAACTGTAATAATGAACAGTTTATAGCCAGATAAATATTACACTTGATTGTAATAATTGTCTAAATAACTAATTGAGCATCCCACAATGCTCAAACTAGCAAAGTAGTCTTTTCTACTAAATACATGATTGCTTAAAAGTATTTCTTGAATCTCACTCTAAAGGTTGAAGAGTTCTTTCCTGCAGCTCACCAGAGCAATGACTGCCACTGAAAGGAACCATTTATGTTATGTCTCTGATCTAGAAAACATTGGCTTTAAAATACCAATTTAGAAATTCTTCATCATTCTCAGCAGCCATTGCCTCTTGAAAACTCTCTCCCCAATTATTTGAAAAGAAAGAAAAAGAAGGAAGAAAGAAAAATCAACATATTTATTGTGTTACATAGAGAAAATATGTTTTTCCTTCCTGTATATCACTTCCAGAATTTCAGCAACTAGTTACTGAACTACTAAAGCTTCTGAGACCAGAGAGGCTGCTCTGCCCTAGGTAAGATAAACTGTTTTCAAGGCATTTTTTGAGTGGCACCTCCCAGGCAGAAATATTTGTACATGTGCTCCACCACACAAATGGAATGATCTGGACAGACACCCAGGACACATGTTCCCTGCATGTGATGAACAGATTGACCTCTCAGAGCAGAAGTGTACCTTTGCAATAGGTCTGGTCCATCCAAAATATGATCTATCAGTGAACTGTATGCACAATTCAGTTAATACAGCAGTCTCAATATGCATCAGGCATTACTAGCCTCCACTGTAGTAGCTGTTGTTAGTTGCTAACAAATTGTCCTCACTGGTCCTTGCAACCCTCAAATTTCATACATGTCCATCTGGTAAAGAACTTTACTTTCAGGGAATATTAACAGCATGTACCAATTTACTTTCCAAATCCAGAAAATATATCTTTTATCTCTTATAACTCATGAGGCATGTGAGGATAACATCCTGGGCTGGGCATCCAATTTGGGTATCCAAGTGAAGGGCTGTTTTTTACTCCTGCACGTGCTAAGGGAGAGCCTTAAGGAAGTTGTACAAAGGCAAACTGAAGATCATTGCTTTCCTTTGCCACACACTTCTTGGCCAAAAATCGGAGGGGAACTGATGGACACTATAAATAAGGGAAAACAAATACAAAAAGATTAAAAGAGGTTACAATAAAACAGAAACTGGAAACATGCATAAGTCAAAAATAAGAAACAGTCTAAATAGAGACAGGCTGGCATCAGTGCAAGGTGTGGGACTTAAGACAGTCACCTTTAAAAAGAAATCATAAAAATGCCTTGGTTGTATCAACAACTTAAGTCCTTCTACACAGTAAAACCTCTGTTTGTCTCTCTTTCTTTCATGCATCTTGTCATTTCCCTCAGGTCCCACCCCTCACAGACAAATTTTCCTCATCGTCAGAAAGGCATTATTCAGACTACCTAAACCCAGGGTTTTTTTTAATTATACTGATAAGCTATGGTATTGTACTGGGTCTTTGACAAGGGGTGACATTTTTAGATAATACTAAATTATTATCCTAATTTTTGGTACATTTATTTTACTGTGTTATGACTCAAAATAACAAGACAGTTAAAAGTATTGACAATTCTGAAGAGACAAAAATGCTTAATCTTTGCCATCTATAAAGATGAACAAATAAAAAAAACTAACATATGAAAATGAGGTTACCATAATAAATAATAAAACATAATAAAACAAACTAGAATCTTTAAGGGAGAACATTTTCTGTTGTTTAAGTGGGGATAAAACGTTGTTGAAAATTCTTTTAAAACTTTTATAAAATGCCCTGTTAAGGAAACATAAATGATGTTGGCTATGCCCCAGGTAGAAACAAGCTAAAATATCCACCATGAGGTCATAATGGTTTCCCAGAAAGTCCTTGAATGTGAAGTGTGTTGCACAGAGGATTTTCCTGATGAAATATCTTCAAAAAAGTAAGCAAGGGAGTTCATTCTGGCAGAAGGGATCTGCTTTGAGTTATTTAGAACTTGCTCTCTCCTCATGTATTGCTGACAATTTAAATCAATGGATACTACAGCTCAAACCACCAGAGAAAAGTAAAACCTGGGGCTGGTAACCCAATTACCTCATTCCCAGTCATAGATCTTGGGCTGCTGGGAACCATCTCTGTCCCTTTTTGGTGCAGTACAAGACACTGTTCAACCCATCTGTCTACCCTGCTGCCTTCTTACCACTCTACACACACATACACACTGAGGAAAATCTAGTTGCAGTTAGCTAGGTTAGAAAAGATAATTTGTTCCAAGCTGTTATGTTTCTCAAGTGAATGTCATATGAGTTAATAATTATGGGAACTCTTGAAACATTTCCAGCTTTACACAACATAGCTGTTTTAGGGCTCCAGTGACGTCTGTAATGTGTAGGTCTCCCGAGATTTGGAACAGATGCATTATTTTTCTCAGCCATCTGGAAGAAAGCAGAATATTGAAAAAAGCTGGTTTATAAGGACTCCCTGGTGTCCACAAACTGGTCTGGTTAATAAGAAAAAAATATTTCTGATTTTTTCAACTGCAAAACAAATAGCTAAACATACAATTGCTGCTTTCTGTGAAGCAAATAAAAATGTCGTGAGACTTTCAAGGCTTAAAATCAACACACAGTAGCTTGCCCAGTGTCCTGTTTTGGGGGTGCATTAAAGATTTATGAATGTAATTTTCAGACCTGTCCTGTAAACCAGAAACTGAAGAGAGAACTCAAACCTGTGTGCAATTCAGTGTAGTAAACTAGGCAGTTTTAGCAGGAGTTAGAGGAAATTCATGAGGTTGTTTCAAGTTCCTAAATTCTTTTACTGGGGAAAAGACATACTTGAAGTTTAAGAGCAAAACATCTCTGGGAAAAAAAAGTGGCCAAGTTCAAACGGCAGCCCACAAAACGGGCTTTTATTCAGACAGAGAGATGTTCAGCTTGCTGTAAATGCCCTTGAAATTAACAGGCAAACTACTTCACATCCACAAATATCACCAGCCATGCTTTTTGCTTCCTCTCAATGTAATGAAATGTGGCAAAATCCTTTGTAATCTGCATTCCCTTCTTTGAAAGATAGGCACCTGTCTGTTTTTAGGCTGAAAAGAGGAACTCTATGTCTGCAGCCCTGAGCCTGCGAGCAGGCTGACTGGACTTCATCTACCAACAGTGACTTTGTAGCTCCAGCAAAGTCTCAGGAAGGGATCAGGAACACGTGAGGAGACCCTGCTAAGCTGCAGGGCTCTGTCTGCTGCTCTGCTCATATATGTTCTCATGGCCTCAGAGATGGTGCCATCCATTACAAGAAATCCCCAAGTTGACTCAAGATGGAGCTTCTCTTACGTAGTTATTGTTTCTTATGTAGTTATTGTTTCTTAAAGACAAGATATAATGAATCTTCCTTTATGCAGAGGTCATGGGCTGTTACAGACCAAACTACAGAACCTCGATATTGGCAACCCCTATCCTGATGCTTTCATATCCAGGATTTCTCATGTGGTCAAGCAAAAACTTTTACTTTAAAAATGTGTTTTAAAATGTCTTCACAGGCTGACCAGAGCTTTCCCACATTAAGATATACAAGGTTTTGTCTGAATTATTTTCATAAATTGACCTGAAATGTCATCACAGTTAGGTGAATGAGGTAAGGTGTTTCTTAACTACTGCTGGGAATAGAGAGGACATAGTATATACAGCAAAAAACATTTGTCAGAGACAAGAAATTTTGTCCAAGAGACACACATTTCAGCAGCAAATGTAAAGACCAGTTGCTTCACCAATCATCCTGAGCTGCTGCCCTAAAAATAATATGGTTGGGTAAATAATGTTCTAAAGGAGAGAACTCCATGGCCAGCTGTGTTTGCAGGCTTTACAACCCTGAATGTTCCTCTCCTTTACATGCTACAGCTGAGCTCCAAGACATATACACTGGAATTTCCAAACAACTAGGTTTCAGACCTATTTATTCCATTGAAATTATTTTTTTGCATTTCTTTGGAACTATAAAATTTCGAAGAGAACAATCTGCATCTATTGTCAAGAGAATATCAAGTTGACCTGAAGTTATCTTTTGTTTCTGCATTTCAGAGGTCGAATGGCAATTATTAAAATATGATTTTTGCATCACTAACAAAATTCCTGCATTGTTGTTGTGTGCTGGACAATGTATAAGACCAACTCTTTACCACAGTCAGTTCATCTCATCTTTGAAATATTGTGACATTTACATGGCAAGAGCTGTGTAAAGGGATCAGTGTGAGAAGTAGTTGGCACTTCTCAAAAAAAAAAATAAACCAGATAAAAAGTTTCTTTTCCAAGCCTCTCCTTTGCTAAGTGGGATATAATATAAAGAAATTTAGTTATAATACTAAGAAAACAAAATATGGAATACATTCCTCTCCCTTCACCCCCCAAAATCTAAATCTTCATTATCTAGCAATGTATAATGAGCTACATCTGCAAAACAGCATTGCTGCATTTGAAAATCCCAAAGGTTTAGTGCAATTCCTAACAGATGTATCACTACTTTTACACAAAGAGGAATAACGGTTTGATTAGCTCTTCAGCCCATCAACCACAAGAAATACATCAAGTTATATCTCTGGTGATGGATATAACATCTGGTGGTGATATCATGTGCCAACTTGTTTTTTCAGCATCTTACATGGACCTAGAACTAGGTCTGGCTATGAAGCTCAGCAGAGAATTGCACTACAGTTCACTTCTTATTGCCTTTTCAAAAATGCTATGGAACATTTCACTGAAGTGATAATGCATTTATGAAGTCTATTATTTAATGAGCCATTTGTCATCTTTACATCATGGATATAACCCAGGTATCAGGTTTATAGGAAACGTCTGCTTATGTTAGACTCAAAATTGCTCTGCTGGGGCTTGATGACACGCTTGATTCTTCCAGCTAAACCCAATCTGGAGCCAAACTGGAAGTGAGATGAGCATACTTGGATAAAAAGCTAATGGGAGTAGAAGGATTAAGATGAGGAGTTAAGGATACAAGGAGGGGGAAAAGAGCAAACAACCAGTACAGTAGAGAAGGCAAGCTGAAGAGTGAATCAGAGAAGTGACAGCATGGCTAGATCTGAACAGGGATTGTCAGCTAACAGAGAAATTACATAGAGCTGTAGTCTTCAAGTAGCTCATGTAATTGCCAGTTATTCAAGGCATCATTTAGTCCATTGGGGTTTAGATATCTAAAATTTGCCACTCTTTAAGATTGGCCTATTTGTGCTGACTTTTTGGAAAGTGCTAGTTGGAATGTAGATGAAAATATGCAGGTTCTTTCAAAAAAAAACAGTCAAGTTTGCAGGTATGAAGCTGGCAGTGTTTCATTTACTGTCATACAGAGCTTCATCATTCTGATCCCTTGGAGTCAGCTGCATGTCAGCATCACTGTCTGGGATTACAATCAGCTGTTCTCACATACAGAGCAGCCAAGCCTTTGGATAAAGTTGTTCTCAAGTGTGTGAATTTTCTCTGTCTTCATTTCATGAACATTTAATATTAGACACCACTTAGTTCTCAGCCTCTCAAGTACTCCTCTGACACTTTACAAACCATCAAATTACTGTCAAAGCACTAAAAAAATAAAGTCTCAGTAGAGTTTTAAATTAAGTGTTGGGAAGTAGCTGAAAATTAGCAGTAGCATGCCTTTTCTCAGTTACATATGAAGGAAAACGTGAATTCAGAGTGATTGTTTTAAAAGGGTGGCTAAAGTGTATGCTCAATGATGTTCCTTGGAAGAAAGAATGGTGCTTTGGATTCCAGGGCAAATGGAATATAAAGTCCAGACAGGGTGACATTTAATACATAACCTTAGTCTCAGTGTGTCCCTTTGGCTTAGTGTAGGTCACTCACTGTTCAGCACATTCTTTCATCATATATCCCATTTTTAGTTTCTTAACTTTCATTGTGCATCATATTAAGTTTAATATCCAACACTTAGATTTTAGATGCTTTTGCTAGACCTGAGTATCTAAAAGAAAAATATTTATTTAAGGACGTTCTTCCATTTTAAGACAGGTACTTTTGAATATGAGGCAATGGGCACAAACTGAAACACAAGAGGTTCCCTCTGAACATCACGAAACACTTTTTTACTGTGAGGGTGACTGAGCACTGGAAGAGATTGCCCAGAGAAGTTGTATAGTCTCTCTTCTTAGAGATATTCAAAAGTCATTTCAACATGGTCTTGGACAATGGGTGGCCCTGCTTGAGCAAGGTTGGAGCAGAGGTCCATTCCATGTCAGTCATTCTGTGATTCTGTGACCTGATACAATAAATATGGTTTACATACTATCATCATCAGCAGTGTATTTTCAGCTTTTCTTTTACTTTGACAGAATGCAAAGTCAACCTAGGTTCAAGATTTCTACAGGTGTGAGTAAATCAGTTTGACACTTCTTTAGTTATATTTGCCTGATCAACTCACAGGAAAGGAAATTTCATTATTACCCTTAATGTGCTACTGTCTGTATTGTAGCACCTACTACTTGCAAGCACTTCTCGGTGTTCAACATCGAATGATGTTATAGAATTCCTCAAAGACTGGATGCTGGATATTCACACTATCACATAAAATCAAATAATAGCATGATTTTTACATTTAGCAGCTAATCATAGAATCATAGAATGGTCTCAGTTGGAAGTGACCTTACAGATCATCTAGTTTCAACATCCCTGCTATGGGTAGGGCTCACCTTCCACTAGATCAGGTTGCTCAGAACCCCATTCAACCTGGCCTTGAACACTTCCAGGGACGGGGCATTCACAACTGCTCTGGGCAAACTGTTCCAGTGCCTCACCATATTCACAGTCAAGAATTTCTTCCTAATATCTAACCTAAACCTACTCTCTCTGAATTTGAAGCCATTGCCCCTTGTCCTGTCACTACATGCCCTTGTAAAATGTCTCTCCACAGCTTTCTTGTAGGCTCCCTTCAGGTACTGGAAGGCTGCAGTGAGATCTCCCCAAAACCTTCCCTTCTCCAGGCTGAATACCGATTCTCTCAGGTAGGAGAGGTGCTTCATCCCTCTAATCATCCTGGTGGCCTCCACTGGAGTGATCGAAACTGAAAAAGTTACTATATTTGAAAAGACAGGAAAATCTTTTGATAGCTCTGTATTTTTTATTCAAATATACAAATTGAAAGGATACACCCTTTTCTTTGATAACGTTCTTCCTCATTCACTTCTTCATACCCCTCTTCTTCCTAAAGAGCAGATTTAGACCAGCTATCTACGTGAAAAGGTCTGTGAGTTTTCAATGACATCTTGTTCCTCGGAAAGAGTAAAGGATACATGTCTTTTGCAAGGTCCCACTGATAGTTACTTATCTACATTTTTATCCTGTGTTAATAAGAAAGCAAACCATTATTCTATGAGGAGTTTATATTTTTGCAAAACAACATTAATATTGTAAAAATATTTGCCAATGCTGCACTTTGGGAAGGCCATTGGAGAGTACTACACAGCTAATACAAATTAGGACACTAATCCTGTTTTTCATTTGTGGATGTCTTATAAAATATTGTTTTGTAACATGGAAATGGGAACTGTGGAAACCCAGTCGTATGATGTCTTTCACCACTGCAAAAGTAGACTAGCACAGTGAGAATTCAAGGAGTTTTCAAAAAGATTAAAAAGTTGGTCTGCTTCTATTATAACAACAGCATGCTTATTCCACCATAGGGTACTTAAATGCGGAATGTTCATCAAGCAAAACTGGAATATCACTCCTGGATTCTTGAGTATTTTTAGACATCACCTAAGCAGAAAAAACCACCATCACCACCACAAAAAACCACCTTATCCTGGTCTCCTGCAACTGTAGACTCCTCTTTCTTGGCCTCTAAACACAGCCTGACAAAGACAATCTGTGGTATCAACAGAAAGACACTTCAGTTCTGGCCTGAGGTTATTAGAAACACGATCTTGGTATTCAAAGTCAAGCCTGAAGTAAATTCTAAAAGTATGAGGGCAGTGCTTAATCGCTATAGAACAACAAATTCCTGAGATGCCCAAAGTGATGTCATTGCAAGATTGTAGATGTTACTACTTTTATATCACAGTAATACTAATATTAATGTTTTTCTAAACTGTAAGAAAACTTCTGTGCTGACAATTTTCAAAATAAATAGTAAACACACAGACTCAGGAGCTGTTAATCATGAATAGTTGTTCTTCCAGCAGAATTAAAACTGGTCTTATCCACCACAATGCAACTCTTTCTTGTGGACCCTGTAAACATCCTCGAAAAAGAGAAAACTTGGATTATTTTATGGAAATGTGGAAAAAGCAAACTGTGAAGGTCTAGAGTTGCAAAAAAGGGAAAACCTATGTGCTATTTAACATTTCATGCCAAGAGGGTTTTATCTCATGTCTTTCTCTGACCATAATTTTAGTGGTATTTCTGATAAAGTAACTATCTTCAGATAGATTTCTACTCATTGGAGAAATGTTATATTGATTCTGTGTCTACTATTGTGCACAGTATTTTCTGTCAACAGCATGGAGACGACTACAAGGTTGTTCTTCACACTAGGAATAAATATAAATTTATTTTTGATGTTACAACACCCTGAGATTAGTTTAGTTGGTTAGAACACGGTGCCAATAACACTCAGGTTGTGGGTTTGATCCCTGTATGGGCCATTCATGTAAGAGCTGGACTCGATGATCATTGTGGGTCCCTTCCAACTCAGAATATCCTGTGAAGTCTTCCAACATCAAGCAGCTAATGATCATCTGGAAAACTTGTAAGAAGATCACTGGTGATTATCATATGAATCTCTTAGTAAAAACACCCAGGTAAACTAGATAAGGAATTTGAAGACTGACAAAGAGTAAGATATCTAGGAAATTCTTTGCTTAATTCTACCTCTGCTCAATTTTTTACAGGGAAATCTCTAACTGAACTTCTTGAGTGGAATTAATACTGCTAATTCCTTTTGGAGGAAGGGAATGAAAATGTAATTCATGCCCATAAATATATACCTATCATCAATCAGAAGAATTTGAATGCAGAAGTGAAATAGTTAGACTGTCTCTCATCCTTTATAGGGGGCATTTGTGAAAGGGGGCATCTCTACAACTTTATCAAGAAGTCTGTGATACAGAACTTGGAAGAAATAAACTTGTTACTGAGGATGATTGGATATTGCATGCAGAAGCTCTAGTGTGTTGAGAAAATGGAAGTATGTCTCATCTGATTCCATGTCTGCTTGGGAAAATTTAAGGAAGGGAAAGATGCTAATAGGCTGCAAAGTCAGCATTTTCCAGATGAATTCAGACTGAAGATTGTCTAAAAACAAGCCAGAAATTCTGATGAAAGATTGGATTGAAGACTCATCCAATATCCTGGAAAATTAACTGATGAAAACATGCTTGCGTGTGCCTTGTCTGATGATGATTTCAAGTTCCCTCAGGCTCAGTGAAATCCTGGGATGTTTTATGATTGTTTACAAACTATATCGACTGACATTTCTCCTTCAGTTTAGTTTCAGATGGGTAATCTGAGGTTCAAGTGATTTGAGGATTTATTTTTAAGGGCATAGGCTATCTGACAGGAATTAGATATGTGTAAGTTTGGTCTCACTAATTGTTCACATGCCTAATTCCATCTACATGAAAGGAAGGAAGAAAAGACAGAGAATGTCACTTGTAACTCTAAATCTCCACTATAGAGCAGCTGGTAGGAAATGACAGGCACTGAAAGGCCATTACCAGCTACTCTCAGACCTGAAAAACTTCTATGATAATCAGATCATCTAAGACTCAACTTCCCTTTATGGTTAAAGTTCATGGAGGTGTTGTACATGTCAGATTTGTCTTCTTTTGGTAAACCAAACTCCTATTCAAAATAAAGGCAAAGATCATGAAAATTAAAAAAAAAAAATCAGGGAAAGGAAATAACACATAAGAAGGAAGAACAGTAAGCTTTCTCTGAGACACAACAGGCCACCGGTCATCTTCAGAAGACTTTAAAAGGCTTTAGAGAGGCCTATATTATCATGTCTTTTTTACACATGGCAGACTTCAACACTGAGAGCTTAAATTAATTGCCTGAGCATGATGAAAGTTAACCCAAGAGCAAAACCATGCTGTCTCTTCTCTTCAAGACCAGTCTGCCTTCAATTAACTGTTCCAAATCTAGCCAAACAATGGTTAAGAGATGTTTTCCTCTCTTTCTGCCTTGGTCCAGAATATTTTTTATGATAAAGATGTCAAATAACATCAATGTAGAATCCAACAATTCTGGAGACAGGAGAGTGAGCAGCTCAATTAGCCATGTGTCCTTTTGAACCACCCAGCAGTCCAGATGGTTTCTTTAGAGCTCTTCTGATAAACAATCTCTACAAACATGTTGCAGTGCTGATAATATAGTAATGTTTTTGTTATTGCTGAGCAGGGCTTACCCAGAGTGAAGGCTTTTTCTGCTTTTCATACTGCCATGCTGGCAAGGGAGGTTGGGGGTGCATGGGCGGTTGGAAGGAGACACAGCTGGGACAGGTGACCCAAACTGACCAAAGGGATATTCCAAACCATATGATACCATGCTCACTATATAAAGTTGGGGTAAGAAGGAGGAAGCGGGGGACATTTGGAGTGATGTTCTTTGTCTTCCCAAGTAACTGTTGTGTGTGATGGGGCCCTGGTATCCTGGAGATGGCTGAACACCTGCCTGCACATGGGAAGCAGTGAACTATTTCCTGTTTTGCTTTGCTTGTGTGTGCAGCTTTTGATTTCCCTCTTAAAGTGTCTTTATCTCAACCCATTAATTTTCCAGCTTTTACCCTTCCGATTCTCTCCTCAATCCCGCTGGTGAGGGAGTGAGTGAGCAGCTGCGTGGGGCTTGGTAGCCGGCTGGGGTTAAGCCATGACATACTGTCATGTTTATGTCATTAACAAAGGAGTACACAATTTAGTAATAGAGTAATAGCAACTTACCACCTTTTCAAATACTGCAGATAGTTCTTATACTGCATTCTTTTCACAAAGAATGGAACTTTCTAGATGATGATGAATAAATCAGCATAAAAATAAAAGCAAGTATGATGTATTTATAGATGCTGCAATTCTTGAAAATAAGCCATTTACTATATATTTATTTTTGTGCATCTGGCACTTCTGTGCAAATTTCACCATGTACTGAGCAGATGAACGTGCTCTGTTTTACTTCAGGGATTATTCAACATTTTGAGGAATTGAATAGAGTTGCTCAGTGCTCAATAACCGTTCTTCTCCTCCAAAACTGCATTCTATTTAAACCACTTCAAACAAGCCCTTCCTTCCATTTTCCCAAACATTTCCTTTGAAATAACTGTGAATTGTTATTCAGACACTTTACGATGGTTGTTGGGTAAAAGCTCTTTTAACTCCTTTAAAAAAACCAATCCCTGTTTTTCTCTTAGATCCATCCCATTTGAGAGAATACTTTGGGCAGGACTTCAGATCTTTTTTTAGGTTCACCAGTGTCATGTAATAGAGAGGCAAGCAAACTATAGAGGTCACTAGAGAGGCATAAGAAATATCATATGCATCGTAGAAATAAGTACATATAATCACTACAGTCAAAGATGGCATTATCTCAAGTAATATATTTCATGATTAAAAGAAAATATATGTAATAAAGGAATACCATTTTCAGTGGAAGTTTCCTTCCTGCCTACAGCAGGAAATTCATGTATTCCATAGAGACAGTCTAACTAATTGGCTCTCAAGTTTACAAGACAAAAGGGAAGTATGGTTTTTCTGCCTGATTGCCAGAGATTTTATTCAGGGCCCAAGAGAGAAATGTATTTATGTAAGTCATGATCCTGTGCATGCTTCCTTGGTGTGCTGTCCAAGATTGATGTAATAAGCTCTGGAAATCTTCACTGAAGAGTAAAATGTGCTAACTGAGATCTGAGATAGCAGGCATCATCCTGACAGTCTGGCAAGCTGCCTAGGAGAATTC